CCCCCCCCCCATACTGTCACTCCAAACAGATCCTAGAGGCCTGCTGGGTTGCAGTAACTCCACACGGCAACTTTCGGTGAGCCACGGCGGATTTTCGGCTTAAAATAACCGCTCTGGGCACCCGCCGGCATGCACTGCCGGTGCCTAATTTAAGATACAGTGAGAAAGGGGGCTCTGGGAGTAACGGCTAGAACTAAAGCCACATCACCACCCAACCCCCAACCCCCAACCCCCAGACAGCTGTGGCACTGCGAGGTCACGAGGAGCCCCACTGCCCCACAATGACTCACAGAGGGCAACAATGGATAAAACAGGAGGGGCACGGGTTCAAATCCCAAAAGGGTAAGATGATTACTGTTTACCCTAAAGAAAGAAGGCAAGTCTGAACCAAGAAATGCGTGTCTATGAAAACACCAACAGGCAAACTGCAGTTAATGTGTACTAAAGATAAACAGATTAAGTCTGAACCCAAACGTAGCTTCAGTTCAGCGGTGCACGGCAGACATGTTTAATTTAACGCCAGGTGAGGTGTGACCAGTTACAGTGAACGTCAAAAACCACTAATCCAGCCTGTATTTTGCTTGGCGCTTCAGACTTTTGTTTGGAACAAGTTTCATTTCGGCGCTAAACAAACAGTAAGGTGACAAAGGTGGGCGGGAGGGTGTTTGGAGAAACGTGAATTAGATCAATTAAGCCTCATGAATTCATGGGCGGAACAGGAAAAAGCTATAATATGATGTTAAGGTTTCCACTGGCGTGGGATCAGAAAACGTGACATGTACACGCACCTTGTGATTATAGGTAGTTCAGATGGAGATCTTTGTGTTTCTCCTTGGCACGGTGACGCATAAAAGTTAGCTGAAGTAAAAGGCGTATCTGTAAGTGCCAGGTTCTTACCCATGGTGGCAGCTCCGATGCTGGGAGACCCTGCCGGACCGATTGCTCCTCTTGCTCCAGGAAAGCCAAAGCTCTGTTCAGCCTGCCATTTTTATTCCCTTTATTCCTTCTCCACCAGAAAAAAAGGGCCAGCCCTATTAAAACCCAGCTGAAGCTAAAGGCGAAATACCCCAGCACGTAAATGGGGAAAATGACAGCGAAGGTCTTGGCGAACTGAATCCACATGCGAGTGACATCGGCGGCGGAGGACCGCGGTTCCCTCTCCGGACCGGCGGGACGTGGCGAGTCCGCGGCGCTCGCCGGCGGACCGTACGCTCCGTCCTGTCCGCGTTCCTGTTTCTTATCCCGGGAGCTCGTCCCGTCTGGATCCACTTGGTGCGCCGCGCTTTTCGCCCCGGCGCTCATTTCCACGCCTTTTCTCTCCCAACCAAAAGTTTCAAAACGCTCCTTCGGGCAATAAAAAGTAACCAAAAAAGAAAAGTTCGCAATAAAGTAACATGAGCGGCGTGCAGTCAGTCGAGGGGGGTGTTCCCATGCTCGCCCGATTCAGTCCGCATGCCGCATCAACGTAACTTACGACTGAATGAAACACCCTCCGTCAGGCTGCCCTTGATACGTGGACGGATATCCAGCCAGACAGCGGACCTGCAGAAACCTCGCCCCCGCCAATCGAAGGGCGATTACTTCGCAGGTTTTTAGAGATCCAATCTCCGCGAACAGCTCAGACCTCGCATCGATCGCTCTCCACGTTGTCAGATGGCGTCCGACTCGCCCCTTTCCATCCGCAACATCCGCGATCCCCCAGCTCCGGCGTACAGCCGAGCTCCCGCTTCCTCTCTTCCACTGCCGGCCGACGCCAGAGTGCTGCCAGCGTGCGGTGATGCTTCCTCCCCCTTCACTACCACATCCTGGCGGAGCCCCGCCGCCTCTTTCACTCATACACACGCACGCTGCAGGTTCATGGTTCAGCCCCCTACACCCCCCTCTACTTTCCTTTCTGTAACAGGAAACTGTCATTGAAAACAGGTCAAACTCACACAGTGAAATTTTAGGCCCACAGCGCCATCCTCTGGCAGGCTGGCGAGTTCGCTGGCGAGATAGGACTTCGTTACATTACGCACGGAATAAGATGCATCGTAATACTTGTTTTCACTTCCTTTTTGTTTCCTTTAAATTACTTTTAAAATTGAAGTTACATTATACATTACATTTATTATATATTATTATACTCTTTCGACGATTAATAGCGCCATATAGCCTACTAATCGCATATAAGAACAATATGAATCAGTAATATTAGGCCTAATATTAATGTGTGTGGTTGTATTTGTTCATCCTTGCATCTTCCAAGCGGTTATCCAATGCAAGGACTGAGTCCCTTTATCTCCTGCTTTCCATTAAGTCTCAGTATATTCAGTCTGACTTTGTGACAAACACGAGCCTGTGCAGAAGTTTCATTTTATCTCAGTCATTAGCAGAACAAGTATAAAGAAAGGAGAAGGACAAAAATAGAACATCGGTAATGTCTAGTTTTAACAATCAGAAGGATTCAATGATCAGATACTGCTGATCATTAAGGAATATCCACCCTGATCAATGTCGCTAAAATATATATATGATTGTACTACTGCACTTTGATTCATCATTCAGCTTGTATATATTATTGTATATATTATTATTTCTAGTTTTGTTTTTTATTGTATTTTATAACTTATAGCAGTGGTGAGGAGCACAAAGAGTTTCATTGTACAATGGCAATAAAGGTTATTCTATTCTATTCTATTCTATTCTATTCTATTCTATTCTATTCTATTCCCTTAATTGCCATGGTAAATTGTTACAGATGAAGGAGCAGGAGTGTTCGAAAGGGGCAAGTGAAAAGTTTGTGGGGCTGCAGTTGCTGGGTCAACAGTAGCAATAATAATGTGCTTCCAGTGACTGGCTCTAGGCTCCACTGCAATCCAGTGCTGCTTATGAAAGACAGGGGCAAAAGTCATAACCAGACGTGTCAAAATGAATTTACAGTAGATAGTTCAAGTGAGACAAACACACTCCGGGATGCTAGGGGGAGGCCTTTTTCCAAAAATACACTAGATTAAAAAATACAAAATATTAATCTTGATCCTGAAAAATTCGAATCTACTATTCTTATTCTCTAGTGTTTTTCAGACAGGTCTGAAAAGATAAAATGATCGTCTTCTTCTTTAACACTGGCAGGCTTTCTGTGTTTTCCACCTGCCTGAGACAATTCTGTGGTACAGGCCAAACCGGCATCTCCGTAAATTTATTCCCGCGAGGCCAATCCTGATTTTTAGATAGTCTTTAAAAATAGCCTACTGCTACCATTAGGAAATCACACCATCCACATTTACAGTCAGTCTGTGTGACCCGTTAGGTGACACAATCAGGGAATGGGGTTTCTGTGCACTCTGAGGTTTATGGCTTAATGAATAAATAGGCTTATAAATCAAATGGGCACTAAATTACAAGCTCCGTGGAAGGCAAGAGAAAATTTACCACTAGATGGCAGTAAGCAACAAGAACCCATTCATCCATGGATAGTTTCACCAATTTATTCGTAACCACTATACTTCAGCTGAAAATTTATTATAGTAGCTATAGCAAGCCAGCATTTTGGGGGCTGTAACCAGGGTGAACCTTGTGTTTTTTGTGACTAAGCAACAGGGCTAGTTCAGTAAAAAAAGGTACTAGCCCAGAAAAAAAAAATTATATAAACAATTTACATTTTCAAAGCACTTCTTAGTCAGTCACTACCAGTCATCCAGCTATACAAAATTTTTATGATTCTTGCATCCTCATGTTTTTTTTAAGTCCGCATTAGGATACTTTCGCGATCCATTAAATCTGATTGATATGTCATTTTCTTTTCTATCTAGTTTGATAACATCTGTACTAATTCTTTGCTCTGGAAAATGGAGAATTACAGCTGTCGATTTTTAAAATCGCGATTGATCGTATACTTTGGAGATCAATTACACGATTAATCGCATACACAACCATGTTGTAATAACATCCCATAGATTTTATAGTCTGTACAATTGAGTTATTCTAAAATAAAGTCTGAAAGTCTGAAAATAAAGATAAAATGAGGTTTCTGGAACTACGATGGTTGTCACATATGGAATTCTCAAACTATTAGCATGATTGTTAAAACATCTGAGCTAACCAAATGAATCGGGGCTTACTGACATGGCTTGCATTTAATCCTTCATTTTATTATTTATAGTTATTGTGAAGTAAATTAATTTTTAAAAGTACAGTGTACCCCTGTTTTGATCAATGAGTTTTAAGTTTTTTAAGTTTTTGTGGAGGATTTCACAGACTACGTAACACCGGATCCATCTCTGTTCAAATGACGCCTGCTAATCTGGCACCATGACCCAAACACTCCAGACTGATGCGTATGGACAGGCTGCAGCTGCATCAGAGAGAGTATAGAGAAAATAGTTAGAATTGTGACATCATACCTTTACTAGCCCCATAAGTGGGAGACTCAAGCATTTAGATCCGTGAATATCACAAGGTCACCAGTAACGATGCAGCCAATGACAGTGAGAGCAGTAATGCAATCCTGCTGCACAAAATAGCCCAGCTCAATTAGCCAAATCCTCATATTCTACAGATGGGAAAACAATTCAGCTTAGCGCAGTATGGACATAAGGAGAGAATCACATGGTGTCTTTTGTTTATTTCTAGGACATCGTTCTGAACAGCTTGGGCATTATCAGAGACCATAAATCAGTGGCATGTTCAGGGACCTGGATATCAGTTGAGTCCCGTTAATTTTAAAAAGACCCATTTTTCAAGTAGAAAAATCAAGGACATCTTCTGTTATCGAGGATAATAAAAATATAGCAATATAAAATGTGTATGTTGCTTGTTAGTTGAGATGTTTTTTATTTGTTTTTATTGTGACTTAAATGAGAACCAGACAACATTTTAGGAGTCATTCATAAAGAAATAAAGGAGTCATTCATAAAGAAATTCACATTCAAAGGGGTTCATAACCTTACTCACAACTATATATTGAACTGCATTGCATGTGAATTAGTTTTTGTCCTTTTTGCTTTGAGTGAGTTTTTAATTTCGGTAAACAAAGAGAGAACATTTGGTGCAAGCGTGTTGCCAGTTTCACTCTCAAGTTCCTGGATCAAACCATCTCTCAATATATTATTTATTCTCAGTAGTTCATGGGCGTCCTTTGTCTTCAGCCTCAAAAATATGGATTTCAAAAGTGACACAAAGTTGTATCTTTTATCAGATCTGTTTATGCTTTTAAAGCCCGTAGTGAAGCAGGGAAGCTGGTAGTGAAGCGGGTAGTGAAGCAGGGAAGCTGGTACTGAAGCAGGTAGTGAAGCAGGGAAGCTGGTAGTGAAGCAGGTAGTGAAGTAGGGAAGCTGGTAGTGAAGCTGGTAGTGAAGCAGGGAAGCTGGTACTGAAGCAGGTGGTGAAGCAGGGAAGCTGGTAGGGAAGCAGGTAGTGAAGCAGGGAAACTGGTAGTGAAGCAGGTAGGGAAGCAGGGAAGCTGGTAGTGAAGCAGGTAGTGAAGCAGGGAAGCTGGTAGTGAAGCAGGTAGTGAAGCAGGGAAGCTGATGTTACAGATTCCAGAGTGACTAAGAGCTTTGCTCTATGCACCCCCCCTCCTCCAGTCCTACTGGAATTTCCCTTCCACAGTAGTAACTTTGAGGAAGATGCTTTACCTGAAGCCCGCCCCCCATCCAGACCGGCATGGGTGTCACCTGCCTAGTGCCCTGTACTTCACCACAAACCTCTACTAGATGAAAGGTTATAGAAGATGGATGTATAAAAGCAAATAAGAAGCTACAAATTAATCTGCTACTGATGGTACATGAACCATTTACTACTGAATTTCTGACTGAATCATAGCATTCAGCAGCACTGTAAAGAACTTATGACCTTGCGACAGGACCCCGGACTAATTTTTCTGCATTTCAGCAAATGTATTTCAAATGTTGCATTATAAATGAAAGCCTTTTTGGGTAGCATTCAATGACGGAATAAAAACAAATGCAATGTCACATTCTGGAAGCTAGGGGGCAAAGTAAACCTACTCAAACACCAGTGAATGTGTGAGTGACCTGATCGATCACTGAATGAGTAAATGTGGACAGGCCTTAATCAACGGAAAACCTTCCATTACAACAACTTATCCTATTTTGTCTCATATGCCTGATGGTGGGCCTCTTTTTCTGACTTGTTAAACTTTGAAACGTTGTTTTCAGACCGTGTCCAACTGGCATTTAGGACACTCATCCAAGTCAGACGGTTTTTGGTGCTGGGATTTAGGTGTCGCTTACGCATCAATCCAGAAATTTCCCTCAGAACCATATCTTAAACACGGCCTAGATGAAAACTAATGAAATTGATGTTGCATGTGTGCCATTAATGTTGCATGTTACAGCAGTGATAGTGTTACATTGTCAGTTCTGTCACATTTCGATTCCTGTTATGGCAGCGCTATAGTGTTATACTGGCAGCACGCAAACATTCATGTTACTGCAATATTAGTGTTACATTAGCAGCCTTGTAATTTTTGCATTCGTGCTACCGCAGTAACATTTTATATTAGCAGTGATGTGACATGATGATGCAGCAAAGTCAGTGCTACATATTATCGCTGTAGCATATACATTCATGTTAGGGCCTCAGTCACTCAGGGGCCCCTGAAATCGGCCCTTCCCTTTACGAAGCCCCTGGCTGACTGAATATCATACAACAAACAATCTTTTCATCACCTACAAGCTGATAAGGGCCATTTCTGTGGCCATTCGTGGACGGGAGCAGCAGTGTAGCAGAATTCGTTTCCAGACTGCTCTTAAACGACAAACTGGAACTGAGCCACCGTCCAGCCAGGTTTAGCCACCATCTGTGACAGACTACTATGAAACCCCCCCCCCAAGGCCCGCCTGCATGTGCACACCAAATCCCATCATCTGTACCAAAGTGCTTACAAA